TATTTTTTTTTTTTTTTTTTTTTTGCTATGGAGTATCTACATGAGAATTATGAACTTCAAGACTCCTAATCTCTATATAAGCCTTTGTTCTTTTGTTTGTCCTGTTTTGCTTTTGACAGGATCTTCTGAATTTAAGATGGATTGACCTCAGTAGGTCGACATATTTGTTAGAAATTCCAGATCTGTCGAGGGCCAAAAATTTGGAGTATATAGATCTTAGTTTCTGTGAGAGTTTGCTCGAGGTGCACTCATCCATTCAACATCTTGAAAAGCTGGAAATCCTCATTCTTAGTGGTTGTAAGAATCTAGCGATTGTTCCAAAAAGGATTGAATCGAAGTTTCTGAGAATTCTTGATCTATCACACTGCAAAAATGTCAGAAAATGCCCTGAAATTTCAGGATATTTGGAAGAATTGATGTTACAAGGGACTGCAATAGAAGAACTTCCCCAATCGATTAGCAAAGTGAAAGAGATAAGAATTCTTGATCTATCAGGCTGCTCAAATATCACCAAGTTTCCCCGGATATCAGGAAATATAAAGCAGTTAAGGTTGCTTTGGACAGTTATAGAAGAGGTTCCCTCATCGATCGAGTTTCTGTCAACTCTCGGTGTATTGGAGATGAATTTCTGTGAACAGCTTTCTAGTCTCCCAACCTGCATCTGTAAATTGAAGTGCCTTGAACGACTTGAGCTAAGCTACTGCCCAAAACTTGAGAGCTTCCCAGAAATCTTGGAGCCAATGGAATCTTTGAAATGTCTTGATTTGAGTGGAACGGCTATTAAAGAGCTGCCCTCATCCATTAAATTTTTAAGCTGCCTTTACATGCTGCAACTCAATAGATGCGATAACCTTGTCAGCCTTCCAAGTTTCATTGAAAAACTTCCTGTGCTGAAATATCTCAAATTGAATTATTGCAGAAGTCTTCTTTCTCTACCAGAGCTTCCACCGTCACTAGAATTCTTGGAGGCAGTTGGTTGTGAATCACTGGAAACCTTATCAATCGGCAAAGAAAGCAATTTCTGGCACTTGAATTTTGCAAATTGCTTCAAATTGTATCAGAAGCCACTCTTGGCAGATACACAATTGAAAATTCAGGTCACTTTCTCTTCCTCTTCCTCATCGTGTCCCCCCCCCCCCCCCCCCCCCCCCCCCCCC